AGCGTCAGCTTCCGGAACCGATTGGACATGCGGTTCCACCAGGACTGCCGAGGGGAGGCAGGGAGAGGTCACGCTGCAGCGCCAGCCGGAGGACGAGGAAGCAGCTGGCGGGGTGGCGAGACCCCGCACACAGGCTCCCTTCCCTCCTGGGCCTGCAGGAGCACTGCCTAGAGGTCACATCACCCTTTCCCAGCGAGCCACACGGAGCCCCCAGCTCCGTCCTGACCAGATGGTCACTGCCAGACTGAAGGTAGCAATGAAGCCTATCGTCCCCTCATCTAATATCCTCATCACACAGACCAAGAAACGGAGACTAGAGGGGCACCAAACTGCTCAAGGTAAGACAGACAGACACACAGGACACAGACAACCCCAAGTGTGCTGACACCTATCACAGCTTAACCCCTCTCCCTGTCCTGTGACGACACGAGCGGTACCAGGGGCCCGCACCACGGCCTGGGTCATCTGCTCCTGTCTCACCAGCAGAGAGGACAGGTGCCACCCCCAGGGCCGCCGACTGATCCCATGTCTCAGACACTAGGGAACCGTAAGGGCCTGGCCTCTGGAGACAGCAGTGAGGTCACGACGGAGAGGATACAGGGAAACGAGGAGGAGGAACCTCGGGGCTGTGCGAGTGACAGGCACGTAACGAACACTGAGCGTGCAAGTTAGAGAAGGGTGCTGGGACCCCAGACACAGTGAGGCGGTCAGGAGAAAAGGCCTGGTTTTCATTTTTTTCCAGAAAAAAGAAAGTTTGATTCCAGACAAATAGAACAAGATGGGAAGACCAGAGAAGCAAATGGAATCCATTGCTTGCAGTCAGAAAAACACAGCTGCACACCGATTTTGGTTTCCTAGGCAGGTGCAAGGGCTAAGGGTCTGCAGGACCCGCAAAAACCTCCAAAAAATCCAACCTCACTGCCATCAAGTCGATTCCTACTCAGAGTGACCCCCATTGGGTTTCTGAGGCTGTAAATCCTTACAGCAGTAGATCAACCCATCTTCCTTCCGAGGAGCAGCTGGTGGTTTGAACTGCTGGCCTTCTGGTTAGCAGCCAAATGCCTTAGCCACTGTGTCACCAGGGCTCCTTGCACAGGGCCCTGGAGCAGCGCACTCAGCCAACATGTCTACATGCCGAAGCAGAGGCCACAACAGGTCAGCTGGGAGGAGCTTTACCAATTCAAGCTGGGGGGAATTTTGTAAGTTCCCTACATTGAGAAATGGAGATTTCCTCTCAGAATCTGGATTTCTGGTTTCTCTTGAAAAGCAAGCAAAGATCTGCCACACGGACCCTGTGAAGCCAGCCCTGCCCTCTTCAGAGGGTTACGGTCACCCCAATCTGCACAGTCCCATTGTTCCCTGCTGCTACTCCCAGCTCATGTTCCCCCAACGCTGGGACTGTGCCTGAGTTAAGGAGAAGTGGCAGCACCCCCTCCACCAGCCTCCCTCCCACCTACCTGGCCCTGGCTCTCTGAGCCAGACGCCCCCTACAACAGGGAAAAGCAAACCTTGAGTCCGCCCTTGTCGTCGGGCAGCACTGGGATGCTCCAGGGCTGTCTGGCCTTGGGGTGCGGTGGGGACGGCTGGGAGCTGGGCCGCCCTTTCTCTTTATTCACCTGCATGCAGACAGACGCCAGCAGTCGGACGAGTTCCGTGTCTACGGGCACAAAAGGCAGCCTTTTACCTGCAAATATGACTGCTGGGCCATGGGCAGGGGACGCAGATCCCGCTGCACCTGAGAACTCAGCCCTGCGCCCCCGGGTCCGGCATCGCTTCCAGAACGTAATGATTGGCAGCTACCTCAGCACCTGATCTTCAGAGAGCGGCAGACAGAGGCCGGCTGGGCTGTCATCAGCCTATCCAGAATGAAGAACCAGAAGCCCTTTCCTGCCAGGGAGGCAGGGGCCCCACCAGCAAGGCAGGGGGCAGTGTGTTCAAATACAGAGGCACGCAGCCAGGCCACACTGGTTCAGAGTTTGCCCATACCACTCACTGGCTGTGTGAGTGCAGGTAAACCAAGCAGCCTCTCTGTGCTCTGTAGAATAGGGACAGCATCAGTACCCACCACATAAATGTACTGGAGGGTTGGGGGAGATCCTGTAGAGCACGTAGGAGTAGCTGGCACGCAGTGAGTGCTTAAGAAAGGTTAGATGATAGGAGAGATTATCACCTCAACTGGGTTAAAAAGCAAGCATCAAAGCCAGGAAGCAGGAAACACTCCAAGCCGAGTATGTGTTTTTCTCTCAACGACTGTTTCTCTTTTCCCCCTCCAAGTCTGTAATAATAAGCATGTGCTTCTTTGATAATTAGGAGCATAAACTTCACTTAAAAATCCACTAGGGGTAGAGTGTGTTATTGGGAAAGGGAGCAGGAAGCTGAGGGCAGAGCTGGGGAGGACAGATAGACTGAAACAGACGAGCTCATCAGGAAAACAGCGTGTGTGCAGTCTAGCCAGGTCGCCGGGGACTCTCGTTCTGAATAACGGCAACTCCCGGCACGCGAGGAGGGTGTCCAATCAGGCCGAGCGAGGTCACTGCACTTAGGGCAGAGCACTCCCACTCTCTAGCTGGTCCCGCTGGTCTGGCTGCCTCCTCTCCACAAAAGAACATGAAGCTCTCCTCCCCCTGGGAAATCCTGAGAGGGTCGAACAGAACCAAGTGTGTACCCGTGACGTGTAAGGGGCCTGTGGCAGGTAAGGGGAGTTAGAGTCTCTGCCACCCCCTTAGCTAACAGCAGCAAAGGAGCAGGGGGAGTAAAGCCACAAGGGACTGTGAGGGTACAACTCCAACAGCTAGCAGGTGGGGATCCCAGCACAGGGTTCAAAGGCTGCAGGTCAGAGGGCCTCCCAGCTTCTCTTTCCAGCTGAAACTCCAGGGTAATAGGACAGATGACTGAACAGAGAGACCCTGGCCCTTGAGCTGGCCAACTGGAAAGCCTGGGTTCCAGGAGAGGACCCATCACAGTAGGGAAGGGTCAAAGGTAACAGCAAGGCTAAGAGCGGCTGGGTCAATGATGGATGTCCCGGCAGGTACCCTCCAGCTTCCACCTGCAAAACTGAGCCAAGGGTGTCACCACTGCACCTCTGATTCTGTTGGTCCGTCGGTCCAAGAGGCTGTTAGGTGCCTCCCGAGGCACCCAGATGCCGGGTGCAAAGCACAGCTATCACTCGAGAGGATTTGTGCACTGCACAGCCAGACATGCATCTTATCAGCTCCGTGGAGACGCCTCGGTTAGTACCAAAATAAGCCTCAGCGCTGCGCGGAGTGAGACCAGCATGCACTGGGGAGGGAAGCAACTCATCCACGGCCAGGTGGCGAGCGCCTGGGACTTGAAAAGGGCTCCCTCCCCTGAACAAGCCCCATGTGTGCTTCCCACCCGGGGCACCAGGAGCCCCAGCCAGAGAACGCTGGGAATCCTTCTTTCTTGAGATACCCACCAGGGTCATTCAGCAGCATCACGAGGTCAAAGGCCGTGTACCCATTCTTTGCCCGAAGAGCGACGTCAGCCCCTTGGTTTAGCAGGTATTTGACAATTTCTTTATTCCTGGGGAAGAAAGTGAAAGCCGGAGTCACACCCACTGGGAGCAAACGTCTGGCCTGACTCCAGGGCAACAGACTGAGCACGTTAAGTCTCTGGGCGTTTAAGAAGGGCATGAAAACCTGCAAACCCTTGGTCCCTCCCTGCTGCTCCAGAAGGTCAGACGCAATTGTCATTTAGACCAAAGCCCGCGTGTCCCTTCCACGGACATAATGAAAACCAAAGCCCACGTGTCCCTTCCACGGACGTAATGAAAACCAAAGACTCTGCCCCAAAGTCACGGAGACTTGACAACCCCACACCAGCCCCACTCCTGACCCCAGGGAGGCCCCCTCCACCGTGGAAGCCTCCCATAGGCCAAGGTGCTGGAAGTTTGAGACTCGGCAAATGGGAGAAACAACTGCTTCCGGGTGACACCATCAGCCTGCAACAGTGTCACTGACCGGCGCCTCCAGGATGACGTGCGGAACTCCTGGCCGCGGAGCCTGTGGATGGGGCCCTGCCGGAAGCAGGGGTCTCCTTCTGGTGTGTTAGTGGGGCCACGCGGGGACAGCACAGATCCGAAACCCCATCACTTCTCAGTTATAAAAAGACCAGGAGAGACACAGGTGGGGGAAAACAGACCACGTGAGACCACCTGCAAGCAATGTAGAACATGACCTGCCAGCAGATGCCGGAGAGCGGGAGGGAGGCTCATGGAAGGAACCGACATGGTAGAGACCCAATGCGGGCTTATAGCCTCCAGACGGTGAGAAAGAAACTTCTGTCCTTCAAAGCCACCCCCTTGTGAGCTTTCTGTTACAGCAGCGGTAGGTAACTAGAGACACAGGGCAAAGAGAGTCCTAAATTTGAAGTCAAACTGCTTAGTGGCTGGGAGACTGTGCAGTTCCCTACACTGCTTGAGCCCTACCCCAAGGATGCCTCCAGGAGGGGAACGGCCCCACCGTGCAGGGATGATCAGACGAGAAGGATTCAAAAGGACCAGGTAAATGCCAAAGGAGGGCCATCACAATCGTCACCATCAAGTCTCCGAGAAGCCAGTGATTTCTGGTCACTGATCTGAATGCTGATGCCGTCCGTTCATTTCACACAGGGTGGCTTATCCCAACTGAGAACTCCAAATGAACCAATCACTGTTCAGCAAATACCAACCTATGGAAACCTACCACCCTCTGCATAAGACGCTCCTGTGGCATGATTTTTAATGGCCACTGGTCAAATTCTGTGGCAGAGTAAAGGAAAAAAAAAAAAAAAAACCCTGCCATCGAGTCAATTCCGACTCCTAGTGACCCCATGGGACAGAGTACAACTGCCCCATAGGGTTTCCAAGGTTGGAATTCTTCACAGAAGCAAAGCCCAGACCAAACCCACTGCCACAGATTTGATTCTGACACATAGCAAGTCTACAGGATACAGCAGAACTGCCCCATAGTGTTTCCAAGGCTGAAAATCTTTATGGAAGCAGACTGCCACACCCTTCTCCTGCAGGGCAGCTGGTGGATTCGAACCACTGACTTACTGATGAGCAGCCAAACTTTCCCCACGGCACCACCAGAGCTCCTGGCAGAGTTACAGGAAATCAAACACCGCAGAGCAGGGATGCAGGATACTTTCACCTTCTCCGCACACCTCAGCGACTTCACAGCCCCCGGGCTTGTCTGTAGCATCTCAGGAGCATGGACCCCATCAGGGAGCCGGGCATGGCTCTCTCTCAGGCCAGCGTGCCCCTGCAGCCTCCCACCGTGAGAGAGGCGTGGGGCCCTCACCCGTGGTAGGTAGCCTGCATGAGGGCGGTCCAGCCATGCACACTGTCTTGTTTGTCCACGTCGGCATGCCTCTCCACCAGCAGTTGCACCAGAGGCAGCTGTCCCATGACAGCGGCCAGCATCAGAGGGGTCGCCCCGTCCCCGTTGACCATGTTCACGTGGCTGGGGTCTTCGTCGGCAATCTCCTTGACCAGCTGGAAGTTTCCTGCAAACACAAGCGGAGCCCTGGTGATCCACAGATGTGGCGTTGTGCCCTTTATTCCCTTGGTTCACGTAACAAACAAACCTTTCCTGAGCCTGCCACTGCTGGGCACCTGAGGACTACCAGGTGCCTCAGAAATCGCCCCACTCTTAAATCCCCCCATCTATGAGGGGCAGAGACAAGCATAGAAGAGTCATTGCTAGTGGCTCTTGAGTCAATTCTGACTCACGGCCACCCCACGTGAACAGAGAACTGCTCCACTGGGTTTCCAAGGCTGTGATGTTTTAGAGGCAGACTGCCAGGGCTGTATTCCGAGGCACCTCTCCGTGGGTTACCAACCTCTAGGCTGGTCATAGAACGCTTAACCATTCTCATCACCTCGGGACTCCAGGACCCAAATAACTTTACTGTAAGACAGAGGTGTTGCTGGTGCCCTAAGCGAACAGATGAAGCAGACAGACAAATGGCAACACACGTGCAGGACGGCTCAAGACTCTCTGGGGGTGGGGATCAGGGAGGGCTTCCTGGAGGTGGGAGCTACATCAGGAGAGGAGATGTTACTCTAAATAGCCCTTCCTCACTCAGAGGTGGAGCAACGAGGCATTGTGGGCATAGGGAAGAGCCAGGGGACAGCCACAGCGTTCGGCTGGAGGGGTGGAAGGGATGGAACCTAGACAGAGGCCTCCACAGCCCGGGCCTCTCCGGGTGAAACGCAAGATTTAGGGAACAAAATGCCGGCTCCTTTCTCAAATCCTCTAGGTGGCCTTGAAAAGGCTGCAAATATTAGGCTGGAAGAATGTGGCACCGTGTGCAATACTCCAAAAGGTTTTCCAAAGTGCTTACCCATTTTCAACGCATGGAAAATATCAGGTCGTCTTTTCTCCTCATCTGGGTAAACAAAGATTTGAAAAGTTAACCATGGAAAGGTTTAATAAAACAGAAAATTCACAAGGGTGTAACAACAGAGCCCAGCTTTTACCATGATCTACTTCTTAGAAGCAATATAATCAAGAGACCACTCAGCTGCGAATCCTGCTGGTCTTCTGGAGGGGTAATTACCAAGAAGGGTCTGGAAGCCCTTCAAGGAGGGTTCTGGGAGGTTCCACCCCTGCCCTGGGCCACACTGGTACAGAGGTCATTCCCCAGGCACTCCACGCTCTGGGATCTCCTATCTCAGATATAACAGAACATGGGATGGCCTTGGAAGATGCTGGATTCTCATGAAATTTTAAAAGAGAAACAATGATTCTTTTCTTACAAACACTAAATGCAAACCGTGAGATGATTCCACAAAGCAGAGGGCTCCGAGACATGAGCGCTGAGCCCAGAGCAAGGCCGTGGATGCTCCCAAGGGGCCACTGTTAATTTCCATCTCTCTTCCCAAATAAGAAGCAATCTGATCAGGAGAGTCACCCCCGGCCCTGAGCTGCAGACAGCTCCAGAGGTGGTCGTCCACCTGGATGTCCCCAGGCTGGCTCCTGCCGGCCAGCTCCTCAGCGGGGCCTGGACGCCCACGTCTTCCCCCCACTGTGGGGCCTTGCTGTGCCCTCCCCATGCCCACCCCGCCCGACCTGCTCATCTGAGGGCCAGCCTAGTGGGGCCCCTGCCCTGCCCCAAAGCAGACATCCTCACGCCCCATCAACACACAGGCTGAGTGTGGGATGAGCTGCAGCCTCTGGTTAACCCCGAGGATGGGGCAGTGGTAAGGGGAGGCCAGTGACTCTGGGCAGAAGCTCTGGTCCTGCTCGGCCCCTCGGGCAGCCGGGAGGAAGCAGCACACAGGATAAGGCACTGAGTGTCAGTCAGTGTATCTGAATTCGATCCCACGTTTCCAGGGTGAGCTCGGCCTCCTCATCCTTACCGTGGGGACAGCACCCACTTCAGGAGGTGCAGGGGTCACGTGGTGATACAGATGGACAAAGGCTTCAGAAACCGGAAGGGCCTGTTCCGAGAGCCAGAGCCCTGGTGGCACAGCGGTTAAAGCCCTCGGCCACTAACTGCAAGGTTGAAGGCTCGTGTCTACCCAGAAGCACCTTGGAAGAAGGACCTGGCAATCTATTTCTGAGAAAAATCAGCCGCTGGAACCCTGTGGAGCACAGTTCTACCGATGCACGTGGGGCTGCCCCGAGTCAGAGACAGCGCTATGGCACCTGGTACCTGGCAGAGGTGCTCAGGGAGCAAGTATGATTCTCAGTACTGTTGCCGGCAGCCACCCCCAGGGTAACTCCTTAGCTCCAGGACCCTTGAGGGGAAGCCCCTACACAGGCGTGGCACCAAGCATCTGACGTGCTTGTCAATTACCATTAGGAAATAATTCTGTATCTTTATATTTAAAATGCCACATTAAGAGTCGAATTTGTTGGGCTTTCTCATCCCAAGACCCTCTGATGAAAAAGAATGTCACCTGGTTTAGTTGTGTCACTAAGCAACCATCTGGCACAAATTCATCACTGAGAGAGTCAGGACTGATCCCAGGAGCCTGGGACCGCTGTGCCCCTGATGCCAAGTGACCCTGGGCTGGTGCCTTCTCACTCTGGACAGAGGAAATGACTCCATGGCAACCAGTTTGGGTTTTGGTTGGTTGGCTGGTTTTGATCAGGCACCCACCACTTAACTGCTATCTACCTCCTGCACTGGGCTGAGGGCCGCCTGCCCCAGAGGTTGACTGTTTCTGCTCACCAATCATGACCCCATTTTACGGACGGAGCAGCGGGTTCAGAGAGGTACCCGCTGGCCCAGCTCTCAGAGCCCCTGTGGCAAGGGCTGGAGCTGGGAGAAGCCATGGCCAGGGCCTCTCCCCACAGGTCCCCTTCCTTCTGAGTGTCACCCACTCAGCTTCTAATTGGTGTGTGACTTTGGGCAAGCCTCATCCCATCTCTGGGCCCTGGTCTCCCAATCTGTATAAGATAAGAGGTCTCTTGGCTTCAGGTGGTTTTCCTAACTTTCATTTCTGTTCTCCTTCGTTGGCTGTCCTTCTCAGCATTACTGGCATTTTAAACACGTTTACTTCAGAGCTTCTCTGATCGGATGCTGCAGCCTATGAAGCACTTATCTTGTGTGCAGCACCCTTTGATTGAAGGGTGAGTGAACTTTCTTTGGATGGTACTGAACTTCCCAATCCTCTGAGACCTTCCTTCCAATTTGTACCTTTCGGCCCTAAATGCTTACACACTGCAGCCACCACTATGCCCTGGGCTGTCTCAGTCCTGTCACTGAATTCAGCCCCACTGTACACGGGCACAGAGGCCCTGTACGCCATGATGTACTCCACAGACCTGCACACGAAGAACAAGAAGTTTGGGAAAGCAGTGAGTCCTGTAGCTGTGCTGAAGGACTGTTTCGACAATCCTTTAAAAGGACAGAAGGATAGCAGAACAATCAAGAAACAAGACACACGAAAGGGGTGGGAAAAAAGGCAAAAGGCTGAATCTGGTACATATCGAGGCTGATCACTGGCAGATGAATTCAGACACATTGGTCAGCAAACTGCGATCCGTGGGCCCAACCTGTTCGTGGAATGAGTTTTACTGACACACAGCCAGGCCCATTCATTCACGTGCTGTCTACAGCTGCTTTCACTCTGACAGAGTTGACTAGCCGCCACAGAGAGTGTGTGGCCCCAAAGCCTAAATTACCCACTCTCTGGCCCTTTATAGAAAAACTCTGCTGATCCCTGTTCTGGAGGGATCCTAGAACAGCCTGTACCAGAACCAGAACCACCCAATTAGGGTCAAGGGGCCTCGTTCAGGTTCCTAGGCTCTTCCCCAGAGCGAGACAGACAGACTCCCTGGAGGGAGGGCCAAGAGCCTGCATTTAACAAGCACCCCAAGTGATTCTAACGCCTACCATGTCTTAAGACCCATTGGCCTGCAGGGCTGGACTCTGATACGTATGGGCCCTTCCACTTGGGCAGTCCTCGGCTTTAACCATTTCAACGCAACGTGTGGGCAAAGCCACGGTGGGGGAGCCCCCGGGCCAGCCTGACCTGTCTTGGGCCTGACGGTGGTCAGTGGGTCCAGATAGTCCGCAAGGTCCCTGTGCTCGCGCTCCAGTGCAACCTCGAAAGCAGTCTTCCCCAGCACGCTGAGGTGGTCCAGGCTGGCCCCCTTCTCCACCAGCTGCTGGGCCAGGCCTAGCCTCCCGCCCAGCGCGGCCAGCATCAGCGGGCTCCAGTCCAGGGTCCGGGCCACGTGGTTGGGGTCCGCCCCCCACTCCATCAGCAGCCGCACCACAGCCTCGTGCCCGTGCTGGGCGGCAGCCATCAGGGCTGTGATGTTCAGCAGCTCGTCCCTGCGGCCCCCTGCCCTCAGCTGCTCGCCTGGGGGGTCCACAAAGGCACCGGCTTCCAGCAGCAGCTTCACCACGCCCAGGTGGCCACCCCGAGAGGCTACGGTGAGCACACTGGCCCCCAGCCGGTTCTGGGCATTGACGTCTGCTCCATGATCCAAGAGGAGGTGTGCCACACTCACGTGCCCAAACCTACCAGGGAGATGGAAAATGAGTGACACCGATAAGATTCCATGCACGGAACTCACTTGTCATTCATTACGAATACCAAACCCACTGCCGTGGAGTCCATTCTGACTCACAGAATCCCTAGAGGACAGAGTAGAACTGCCCCCAGAGGGTTTCCATGGCTGTCATCTTTACGGAAGGAGCTCTGGTGGTGTAGTGGATAAGGCTTTCGGCTGCTAACCAGAAGGTCAGTGGTTCAAACCCACCAGCTGTTCCATGGAAAGAAGACAGGGCGATCTACTTCCGTAAAGATTTACAGCCTCAGAAACCCAAGGGAGTCGTTATGAGTCAGAACAAACGTGATGGCAGTGAGTTTGGTTTTCTGTTTTCATTTTTACGGAAGCAAAACCCAAACCAAACCCACTGCCGCTGAGTCGATTCTGACTCACAGCGCCCCTAGAGGACAGAGTGGAACTGCCCCAGAGGATTTCCAAGGCTGTCAATCTTTACAGAAGCAAAGCCCAAACCAAACCCACTGCCGCTGAGTCGATTCTGACTCACGGCGCCCCTAAAGGACAGAGGGGAACTGCCCCACAGAGTCTCCAAGGTTGTCTTCTTTACGGAAACAAAGCCCAAAAAAAACCCACTGTCGCGGAGTGGATTCCAACTCACAGCACCCCTAGAGGACAGAGCAAAACTGCACCACAGGGTTTCCAAGGCTGTCAGTCTTTTTGGAAGCAGACTGCTTCAACTTTCTCCTGAGGAGCAGCTGGTGGGTTTGAATTGCTGACCTTCTGGTTAGCAGCCAAATGCCTTAACCATTACTCCACTCGAATTCCCTGCCTACAACAGTGCTTGCTCTTTTTCATGTTAAGCAACATGTCCAGGGTCATCCAGCTCCTAAGGGGCGGTGTCAGGATCAGAACCCAGGTCTGTCTGAATCCTGTTACCCCCTGCTCTTTCCCCTAACCTGCCTGATTGCAGAGCCTTCAGTTTATTCTGCTCTACAATCTGGTAATTCAGTCTCTGTTCTGACTTTCCCATGGGCAGGGGCCATGTCTGATTCATTCCTACCATCCCCACTCACACACACACACACATGCGCACGCGCGCACACACGCACAATCCTTTGCAATGACACAGCTGACCCCATGCCAAGGATATGGCACTGCTGCAGTTGGCAGAGACTGGCTGGGCACCTCTCAGGCAGAGTCCTGCTGCCACCTACTGGCAAGAATGTTCATTGCAGGCAGCTGAGACCCGGCCAGACCTTCCTCAATGGTCTCAAATCTCTGGGATGCTGCAGAAACAGACATGCTCCCTCAATGCTCCAATTCCAGGAAGAAATAAAGCAACGTCTCCTCCTTTTCCACCATCTCCTTGAGGCTGCCCCCTCCAGAGGGCAGTGAAGCAGTTTTTGATGGGTCGCGCACGCTTCGTCTGCTCAGAGCTGTGGGTCGGCACTGGAGGCGGCCTTGGACAGCACCTCGGCCAGG